ATATATATATATATATATATATATATGAGTAAATTATATCTGTACTTCTTGCATCTTTTTTAAATTACGTTCAATACTCCTTTATAATTTAGACATCCGGTAAGACTTTTTAAAAATTAAATAGATGTTACATTAACTTTTAATAAATTTCTCTCCCTAAAATATTCTCATCTTCTCTAATTGCTCAACCCACCTTTCCCTCTCCTTAGCCTCCTTCTACCATTTGCATTGTTCATTTGTAATTGTGAAACATGGTGAAAAGATTTGTAAGTAATTAATAAGAACCTTGGGAAAAAATCATATTATTAAGAGTGTTCATGTATCAAATTTTTAAAAAATTCAAACTAAACTGAACCAATCTATTTTATAAAAGTGAACTGGTTTATCGATTCGTTTTCATAAAGTGGATTAATCTTTAAAATATGGATCGATTTTTTTAAAATTAAATTAGTTTAGTATGATACAGTTAACCATTTTATCCTCATATATAAATTGATTTTTTTATGAAAATTGAACCAAACGGATCTACTTTATCAAAATGGATAGGATAACCAAACTATTTTTATAAAGTAAATCAGTTCAGTTTTTTTTTAAAAACAAATCAAATTTTTTAATAGTGGAACGTTTTTGTATTCATTACTATTTTCTTCATTTGTAATCAAATTTAGTTTTAAAGAAATTTATGAACCACTGTTGTATCATATTTTTGTGATAGCTTAGTTACATTATTGATTTGAATACCAGATTCGACCAGATAAGCAAACGTGAATATGGAGTGCAACATGGCCAAGGGAGGTTGAAACTCTAGCAAGGCAGTTTCTGCGCAACCCATGCAAGGTTACTTCTAGTGTTTCCACTTTTCTATTCTTATATTTGCTATCATTTATCATTCATGGACATCTATGCTGATTTCTTCAAAGAAGAATGTATTTTGTGCTATGAATTGACTTAATTAAATGTCATTTGGGTGATATTGATTTGTGAGTTTTTCTGCGGGATATCATGATCTTATAGGTAGTTATTGGATCGCCAAAGCTGAAGGCAAATCATTAAATAAATCAAATAGTTGAAGTCATAACAGACATGGAGAAATACCATAGGTTTGTGTCCTCAATGATAATAGACAGTGACTAATACTTTTACTTTCCAAATTAACACTTCAGATTTAAAATGCAGGTTAATCAGATTGCTGAAAGAAGTGATAGATGGGAGCCGAATTCTAATCTGATTCACGAGACAAATGAGAATGGATGGATGGCCAGCATCATCCATCCATGGTGATAAAAATCACTCTGAAAAGGATTGGGTCTTGGCTCAATTTAAGAGTGTAGAAGTTGGTCAGTTCGAGAAGATAAGAACATTTTAAGAAAGGAAGAATTTATTAAAAATTACGTCTAGGTCACACATGATATGCATCTTTAAAATTAGTGGAGATTGATATAATATTTGTTCAACTTTTAAAGAATTTTATGGTAATTTTAAATTATAAAAGAGTATTAACTACAATTTTAAAAAGAAATCTTGGTAATGAGTGTAATTTGCTTTATATATTATTAAATTTTTCACGTTTTTCTTTGGCAATTTTCCCATTAAAGTTGAATATCAAAAAAGACGGCCATACGTCTTTCATATTTACGACATTTCTTTAACAATAAAATAATAAAACTTTTACTATGTCTTCATATTAATTGTCTTAATCTGTTTGGTCAAAAAGGGAATGCCCATAATGTTCTTTACACGCGAGGTTACGTGGAAAAAAGAAAAATGACAAAAAAAAGAGGCGAATTTTGAATGCACATTTTTTTTGTCTAACTTCTTTTGTACCATTTGGTAAATATTAATATAAATAATAAATAATGGTATATAATTATACTAAGATTAAACAAAACAAAATTTAGAAAGACAGAATTAAAAAAAAATGACTAAAATTAAAAGTCCCCTATATATGTTTTCAAGGGAAAAGAAATATTTATGACTAAAAGTTTCTATCAATATAGTAAGAAGAATTGTGACATGGTACCTGAAGTATTCTACTGCAAGCCTTATGAATTTTTGTTGTCAAAACCGTTCCGTTTCAGTAATCAGTGTATCTCGGGCACAAGGATAAATCATAAATCGATTAATTTGCGTGAATCTCACTACTATTAACAGCCTCTTTTTATATTTATATCGTAATTTAATATATAAAGCAATTTAAAGAGAATAATAGTCTATGTATCACTTCTTCATTTTTGTAATATATATATATATATAAAAGACATGCTAGTCAAAGATTAAACTCATAATGACTAATAAAATAGACAATGGTGGATTAAGTCTACGTAAGTGACAAGCTGCCACGGATGCACATGGTCTAGTGTCATTAATTAAATAGAGGAAAAGACAAGTAGAACGTGGTTGTGGCAGCTAGCTAGCTTTCACTAATATGTTTATACATGATGATCGATGGTTACTGATTAATTTGCGCAAAAAGTTGGTGAAGTGTGTTATGCTATATATAATAAATGCATGAGCATATATATGAAGGTTAAGGTGATCGATGGTTTAGGGAAAACATGCATGGGATTAATGATATGTGTTACGTTGGCTAAGAGTGTGAGCATTTTGAGGGTAACAAAATCTTGGAAAACGTTGGATATGTTGGATTGATGTATTTTGATTATGCAATTTAATAAAAAAAATCTCAATTAAAATGTTTGAGAACCAAATGTATCTCTCACTAATATAAATGATAATTTCAAATAAAACTTAAAATTTTGTATTATTTTTAAATAAAGGAGTTGAAATAGATAGAATATTAAATTGTAGTGAGTAATTATATATAGAGAAGGTATGAAAACTTATCTTTTTTCTTAACATTCGGGAGATATAATAATGGTCAATTAAAAAATAAAAATAAAAAATAATTTTATATCCTAATATCGATTTTACAATAGATATATATTATATATATATATATATATAT